TCTCTGGGATACAAATATTGATCCTGTTCTGCCTCAAGCCTCACATGCTCCTCCACTGGACATGAGTTTCTCAGGGCAGAGACCACTCTGTGTTCTGCTGAATCCACCCAGCGCCCAACTCCATGCCTGGAGCATCCGGAACCTCCTGGATGCTTGGGGTGAACAGGAGCTTCAGCCCAGGAGTCCTCGTCTACTCTCCACCAGGTGAGGCTGCAGCCACATATATCTGCACCCTTCTGCAAGGAAGAAGCAGCTGTGTGGGAGGGGTTGGGCACCCATTAGCCACCTCCTGCATCCATCTACTAAAATAAGTTCCCTCAGCAGGTGAGTGCTGCCAATAGGTTCCCATAGCAATGTTCCCATAAGTATCCCAAGACCTGGACCCCGAATGTCTCCACCTGCAGATAGACAGGCCAAGAGGTGTTCTGATTAATTATATACTCCACATAGATGCCTGGAAATATATTTCCAGAACCACATTCCCCACACTCTGTTGCTTGACACTCTAGTTCCTGCAAGACTTTCTTAGTAGGTCTTTTGAGAAATCATGTTCCTGGTTTCAGATAAAGTTGCATTCTCTGTACTCCTTAAAAAACTTTTGGTGAATGTAAGCAATTTAAGAGTTCTGAGAGGTCTGCGGGTAAAAAAAAACTATTTAGCTATGTTTAACATGGCATTTCTCAAATTCTTTGGAGGAGGAAGGGAAAAGACCCAATGCTACCACTAGAGACATAGTTTTAGAAGTGCTATTATAGAGGAAGTGACATTTTTCAGAAGCTAAGAATAAAACCAAATACAGGGAACACTAATACAGTGGACATGCAATCTTTCTTTGCTGTCTCATAAGAAAATTGAAAAGTTTTGTCACCATTACATTGATCTCTGCCAGGAGATGGGTAGAACTATCAGTTGCAAGAGTTTATGGGTATCAGCAGAGTGTCAGTTCTTAGAAACAAAGGTCCAGCTCAGCACCAGCCACAAAACTGAAAATAATTTAGAGAACCAATGGAAATGTCAGGACGTGAAGGAGAGCAACAGTGTTCAAGAGCTGGCCTGGCCCCAACGACACCTTCCCCAAACTGCCTCCTGGGATGCCCCCTCCCCAGTCTAGCCCCGAGCCCGCACACCCCACACAGACTTGCACACCACGAGGCCCTGGCTTTTCCCATCCCTGTTAATCTCTGTACTACCTAAACCCATCTCGCGTCCCACCAGAGGGATACATCCCAGTCTTTGACATCACTGCCACATTTCACCCCAGAGAGATGGTGAGCTCTTTGAGGATGAAGACCACTTATGAAACCCGCCTGCCTCACCAGCCACAGCTCTGACAGCAGTGATGGGCATTACTGAGGACTATGGTCCCAGGGGTATTTGCTGAAGGTCTCGGGAGAACGAGGCCTCGAGTATACGCCCCAGGCTTTGCCACAGATTCACCATAGAGAGTCACTTCACCACATCACTGTTCATACATCTCTTAGAGATAATAAAACTTCACCTCCCCCACTCACAGGCTGCAGTGAGGCTCCAGGGGGCTCATGTGAGAGAGTTCACCGCATGTTGTAGAGGCTTCTCAGATGTGTGGACTGCCTCTGGTCAGCCACACTCACTGAAATGTTTTGTCCTCTTTTCTACACACCCATCCTACCTAGAGCTTCTGTCAAATGGGAGTCCAGTCATGGCCTTAGACCCATAACTACCCTTTCATACCTTATGTCCTCCAACTGTACCAAAACGAACCACCGTCATGAACCAAC